ATATGATGGCAATTTGAGAATGCAGCAATTTTAGCTTTTAAATTTTGAAATTTTGTCAAATTTCTTTTTTTTTTTTTGCAGATCAGAATACATCGTTGACAGTGTAATTTTACTGAAATAATAAGCATTTTTTGAAAGATTTTGTTGTCACGCGTCTTATCGTACAAATGATCGTTGAATGCTTCGTGAAAATTTGTTGAATTTAAGTACTTTTTTTGCAGGCTTTGATAAGTGTATAAAAGAGGTCTCCTTATTGGCGCTGAATAACAATGGACGAGAAGCTGGAGAAAAATCGTGAAGGTAAGATCATATTCTTCTTGTGAAATTTAGACTGTTTTTTAAACTAAAGCTGAATTTGAAACGGCTTAATGTTAATGACAACTTTACGGTTGACTGCAAAGTCAACGTTTACCTTTTTACAGAAGAAAGATCTATGTTTTTGTTGGGTTTTAATTTTTTTTGGTTTACACAAAGCTAAGCGTTAATACTAACTAAATTTATTTTTGAACGTAAACATATAATCTTTTTAATGGAGATTTTGTTCTATAAGAAAAAGAACAATTTTTTTAAATCTTGGTTGGTGTTTGTATTTCTGTGTGTGATAACTTTAATGGCACTGATCCTACTGTCAGTCTCCAAATCAAAAATATATGTTTGTTTTTTGATGGAATACTGCAATTAAGTACTGAATATTCAGTGCAAATTTGATTCGTCAACCTTTGAACAGAAAAAACAGCGAAAAGATTGTTAAAAAAAAAAAATGAATTTTGGATTGATTGAGTAGTATAAAACAGAGATATGACATTAATATTTCTGTTAAAATAACTCTGACGGTTTTGCTACGAGTGTTTTTGAAGTCAAAGCTATTTTTTTTTTTAATAAGTTGTTTCTGATAAAAAAAAAAAAAACTGCGCTTTATTATGGCAAAAAAAAAATTTCTGGATTTTAAGATTATTTGTTAGAAATTGAACAAACGTCAATCTTTTGCAAATTTTCAATTTGAGAGTAGACGATAGACTGACTAAGTTTTCTTTTTGGTTTAAAAATTGATGGAATTTAGGTTACAAAAACGATATGTATTACCGCTTTTACACTAAAGCTTTCGTCCAATAATTTTCACGTCAGTTAAGTGGAGTGTAAAATTTGCAGGAACTTTGTTACAACGTCAAAAATTGTCTATATATTGTTTGTTTGTTAAGTTTACAAAAAAAAAAAAAAAA